AAGTTACTAGAAGTAAAGGTGTAGAGCAGATGTTCTAGATGTACCTATACATGTGTGTATACCTCATTATAAATACATTGAATGCAGTTTGTTTTTTTTCCACATCATAAATTCGTTGTGAAATAGCCGCGGTTACCCTGAGAAAGACAATGTGCAATACATCCACGTGAAAGCCTAATGAGAGGACTCTGAGAGTCGCGCAGCGCGGTAACAACGTTATACAACCGTTTTGTCAAAGCTCATCACAAGTTGACTTCCTGACAGGAATTGATCTTTGTCCTACACTAAAAACAAAATTCAATGTAGAAATACAATTGAAATGTGATCAGTTACAGTCTGTCCATGTCTAGTTTATATTCCTCCCATTGTTTTGCAAAGCACGCCATTCTTTTAATTGGAATAAACTTAGTATTCCTGTTATTAAAAGTCAACCAACATTGAACGCGACCTGCTTTGTGGGTAACAAATACATCCTCACTTAAAAAAAACACGTATGTGATTATGTTTCCATGGTGACACGTGAGATTACCTCCCAAAGGAGACATCTATTTCTTCCAATGGGAGTTAGGGGACTTAACTAACACCTTCTAAGAGGAGGAAAACAAAATGCATTCACTCAGTGAAATGAAATCAGCACAAAGAAACAAAATGAAAGCTTTTTTTATTTCAAGTCTATGGAGTTCACATTGTAAATAAATGAACCAGGTATTGTGTTTCTTCTTAAACTGGTTTCTCAGATTATCTTTGACTGGCAGCAGGAACAATTCAGAGCAGAGGGGTGGGACCCGTGAGAGGTCAGAGGTCATGTGGGGTCAAACCAGGTGCTGTGTGGTTTCAGGAAAGTCTTCGTAAAACTTTAAGAAGAGGAAATTGAGCTGTTTGGTGTAAATATTGCCACTTCCATGCCACCATTAAAGCGTGAATGGGATAAAAAAAAAAAAACACTCTGGTAGAGTTTTGATATTTTCGTTTATCACTCAGCACTCGGCTGAAGTTATTTCCTGCCGATTCATTAGAGACTCATTCATCTGTGATGCCGTTGTGCCCTCTAGTGTTAGAACGAGACGGAGACCTGTTTCCCAGTCGTCCCCTACACTCCGCTCTCTTTGGGCAGATCCAGCAGAGCAGAATATGGAGATTAGATTTAATTAAAAGAATCGCCTCCAGCCCGTCACCCACTGAACTTTAAGATCTACATTCAGCAAACTGTGACAGTTTTTTAATATCCAAATTACGCAGGCCACCGATCAATGCTGAAGATAACTGCTGACTCTGACAAATTCAATATCCTCTCTTGTGATAGCAATCAACAACAAATGCACCACGATGACTGGGGGAAGACAGAATTGGAAAAACCACAACAATGGGACAAAGGGAGTTGTTTAAAAAAAAAAAAAAAAGAGTCAGTTGGCAGATTGAGTCGGGACAAAAATCAGGAGAAAATCCAGTGGAGTTTGCTGAAAACGTGGCACCAAGCCAAGCAGCTCAAGTGCCTACTCCTCTGGGGCTGCAGCAGAGCCAGGCCCGGGGAGACGTGAGTTATAATGCCACTAAATCAGTCTCACATCCAGCCGACTCCCCAGCTTCTTGTCTGTCATCCGCGCACGCACACGCACACGCACACACACACACATACACGCACACACACACGCACACAAGCAATTAAAGCTGTGAGCATCTGCATGTGTTGTAGAGGAGAAAGAGCAGTGCCCTTACAGGAAAGCAGAGGATTAGACCTAAGTGTGTGTGTGTGTGTGTGTGTGTGTGTGTTGGGCTGATGATTAGGTGTAACAGCTCCTGAACAGAGAGGACAAGGGAAACATCTCATCAGATCACTGTCTGTCGCTGTGTGCAGCACAAAAAAAAAAAAAAACCTGAAAGGAGTACACGCCTTAAACTCCAATATGGAAGAATTCTGTCCAGGAGAGTTTGCCTGAGTTAAAATAGTACATTAGATCAAAGGTGGTGTCAGTAAAGACTCCCAAGTTTAGAGGTTCCACCTTTTAACGCCAATTTACTGTAAGATAACAACAGTCTTGCTAATTTCCCTGTAATTATAGACCATTTATCTATTTCTTGTAAGTCAGCGTGTGCTGCAAGGAAACTTAATCAACTCTACTGGGTTTAAATGCAGTAAATAAAGTGGGATCTGGAGTGTACGTTAGGTAGAGTGTGAGTGTACCAAAGTACCAAATGATGGAGTCTTGATCAGCAGTCTTGTGTTTTGATATATGTACCCAGGACTCCCTGGAAAGCTGTATTGATACTGAGCAGATTAATTCCAACTGAAATAAAGCAGTGATTTAAACTACTGCTTTAAAAACTGCTTTTAAGACACTTCCTGTTAGTTTGTCAGATTTGTTGGAACTTTCAGAAATATATGAGATTCCCCAGTTGTAATTACCACTAGACTAGAACTAATGTTTAATCCTAGACTGGGAAATACTTATGAGCATGGCATTAATATTTTCTTCCATAGACGAACGAAAGCAAGAGCAGCTCCTTTTTAAAACTGTACAACTTTATTTACGACGTCCCGCAACAGATCAGCCAAACAGTAAAATTTCATCAAAGTTTTCATCAACAACCAAAAGACTTAGAAAAGGTTAAAAAGAGAACAACATGAGAAAAACAGTCAAAAAAAAACCCATTTGATCTCTCCATCTTGACGTGGTGTCCGTCTCTCCTGGCCATCTGTTTTCTCTCTCTCTTCTTCTCTTTCTGTCAAATTATCTTCCTTTCGGCCTCTGCTTCTCCTCACCGATGGCCAGGGGGTCCAATCAGCTGTCTCGTCGGCCCACTCCGGCATCCGCAATTACACTTGATATTCTGTGGTTGGCTCTCGGGGGTTACCATGGCGGCGACATTGGCTGTGGGTTCTGGAGGTAGGACATCACAACTGCTGAGATGGACAGCCTGCAGACGACAGAAAAAAAACATCATGTCAAGTGTGCGATTATAGTTTGGAAGTCACAATCCGACGGCGCTCGACCATTTTTCCATCTTATTTTAATGAATTTCCTGTTCTGAAGTGCGTTTGGACATAAAGGTTACAGAAACTGTGTAATAATGCCATTTTATTGTATTTAAATAAGAATAAAAACAGAGAGTAAACAGAGAATTATTCAGAGACAAAATTACGAGGCAGTCAAATCCTTTGATAACGTAGTGACACCGATGTATTTTGTCATTACCAGGGTGCAGACGAACAGCACCGCTACCTGAGAATTACTTATTGTTTGCATTTGTTACGGTTTGTGAGCACCTTTCTTTGTGGAGTGTGATTTATTAAAATTACATTTTTTCCATTTATTGCCTATAAAGCAAAAACACACTGCAGTTCTCTTAATTATTCAATGACATATTTTGCTTACAGTTGAGCTGAGGATTGATTTGAACTCAAGTAAAGAATTCATCCGTGAGCCATATGAAGCCACTGTTGGGCAGGTTCACCTGATAACCTTGATGACATAACTGCGCTCCACGGCTCTTTCGTCCCGTGTAGCCAATCACCTTTGTTTAATAACACAGGGATACTTACATCATATCTTTGCTATTGATAAATGTCCTAAAACTGGCCTTGAACCAGCTTCAGCGCACATGAGGCCGGTGCATTTAGTTCAGCGTCTGACATTATTTGCTGAGCCAAACATTTTGTGTTACTAAAACTAGGAGTGCATCAAGCTCGTCTTTAATACAACCTCATCTAGACAATGGACCAAAAGGTTTTTCCTCATTGCAAATCTGTCTGCGAGGCCTGGACAAGTGCCCCTCCTGTAGTACTCTTCTATAAGCAAATGGAAATGCACCAGTCTTGGAGGTCACACAGTTAAAAGCTTTTGGACATTAGAGCTGGCTCATCTGAAGTCCCAATGGCAGCCGCAAGCAAGGTCTAACCTGCAGGTTTAAAACTGCATAATTGAAGACTTCAAATGTAAACACAAAGTGCCTTTATTAGCCCTTTTCCTCAGAGCTGAACTGTACAACATACAGACAGCGATACAGCAACGTATGTGAAATAACTGACCTGATCAATCAATGTAATGAACTGTGTTCCAGTATTTTGCATTACATCAGACAAACCTATTAACAGAGATAAACTTCAATAACTCCTTTCTGTTAGTTTTACAGTTTCTCTTAGTTCTGTAAAAACGATATGACAAATTCTTCAAGATAAGATTCAAGTTAAAGTCTTAACTTCCTCTTGTCTCTTGGACTCACCGCCTCTCTGAACAACACTGTTGGTAAATATGAGCATGCTATGCTTTGCAGTGTGCTGATGTTACAGGACAGCAGCATATATTAGTGTAAAAATGGTGCACAGGGAGGACACACATGTAGCATAGCTTGTATACAGAAACACGTATCGTTGTACACTCACATGAAGCTGCTCATCATCTGCTTGGTGTCCTCTGAGCTTCTGGAGTTTGCAAAGCTTATGAAAGAGCAGTAGACGGCGATCCAGGCACACCACTTCAACTGAAACGCACACGACACACAGGTTAGCTGCACAGGCTTGTGGCAGACTAGAAGGACCAAACTTAATATAACGGGACATTAGATGTTCTTCGAGTTACGGGACATTTCTTTGGAGACAGAGAGACAAACTGAATTATCAGTGGAGATAGATGAACACTTAGGAGATAGAAGAATCGATAAGTATATGATTACTTTCAATTTGGTGTTTGTATACTGGCAAGTACACAAAGATGCCTAATTTGGGATATTACCCGATATACCCGTACACGATTCCCAAACATAGTAACAGCACTCCATGGAAAAAGCTAATCTGAAGGCAATGGGTGGCCCTGAAACTCATTCATATGCACCTGATATTCATACAGTATTTATTTTGGTGTTCCCATTATTTTATACACACCCAGTAAAACATACAGTGCATTTTTATTAGTGTGTGTGTCTGAGCAGCCAGAAAACCCCAAATCTGGCAGAGTGATTGCCAGTCTTTGCCTAACAAATTCAGAGATAGTGTTTAACAATGCAATAAAACAAACAAACAAACAAACAAACAACATGTTACAACAACAAGTAAATTGTCAATTAAACAAATGATGTAGTATTGGACTGGGAGGCCACGCTACCCTGCTGCTGACCCCCCTTTGTTTTGTTTATTGTGCCCTTAGTGCTGAAAGTCAAAAGCTGCCCTTCATTTTTTCATCTAAAAGGTGAGTTTACCTTTAATCTTCTAAATGGAACAATTGGGCTGGACCAAGGTCTACTATTCAGGGGCAACACTCATTTAGTGTGGACATACACACACAAAGACAAACACACACACAAACACACATACACAAAGGTAAATTGGAGTCACAGAGGCTCAGTGTGAGGGCATGTGCACGTGTGTGTGTGTGTGTGTGTGTGTGTGTGTGTGTGTGTGTGTGTCCTTATGTCACCTTGAGCATCAGTCCACACATGCTGAAGATCATGCCGAGCAGGTTCATGTAGTCAGGCGTGGGGTCTTCCAGTGTGGGGTTGGTCTCTGTGCTGGGGGGCTTATATCTACAACACCACAAATGTATATTAACAAAACACACAATGTAACAAGCATTTAATTTTTTTTTTTATATGAGATCTTGTGACTGTTACACACCTCACCCTGTGTTTCTATTACAATATCTCATTACGTCCACATGCGATTCTTGAGCATCTCATTTAAAAGCCACAGGCATTAATCTGCTGCTACGACAGCTTCCGCTTTTCTGGGAAACCTTTCTACAAGATTTCTGAAACTTACTGCAGGGATGCGCTCACATTTAGCCACAAGAGCATTAATGAGGTGGACCACTGATGTTAAGCGAAACAGTCTGGCTCACAGTCAGCGTTTCAGTTCATCCCAAAGGTGTAGACCATTGAAGTTCCTCAACACCAAACTGGAAAGACAATTTCTATGTGGATGTGGCTTTGAGCAAGGGGGAAGTGTCATCTTAATACAGGGAAGGGCCTTAGCCAAACCTGCCACAAAGTGGAAAGTAAACTTTTGTCTAAAATAACAGTGTATACTCAAGTAAGATTTCTCTTGACTGGCAGTAAACCATGATAAACAGCTCAGGGTCAAACATACATTAAGTTTGAATATGATTTGGTCATAAAATTTAACTGACTCAGCAGATTGAATGCAGTGGTCAAACTATACCAGACCACTAGTTAATTATTGTGGCCCTCAAGGAAAGTGTTTCTGACAGTGGTCCCACAAAAAAACTCTAGAAATCAGTGACTATAACCAATTGAATAGAAGCCCAAAGATAAACTTATTTGCTAACTGACTGTCGTGAATGAGACAAGGGCAAACAGCAGTAGGCTAAAACACTACCCATTTGCCAAAACAGTACAGCTCAAGTAAATACACCGACAGCCGACTGCATGTTAACTAATTATCACCATAAAGTGGCTTTTCAATGGTGTATAACGTTAAATCCTAAAGCTGAATCAGCTAACCGCTAAGCCTTTCAGGCTATACCCATGATCAGGTTAGCTAGTTAGCTAGCTCTAAGCTTCCGTTAACCAAGCTTTCTGGCTAGCTAATTCCACAAAGTAACGCTCTATTTTCTGTATAACATACTCACCGTAATATTTTATTTTGTCTCCTCGGATCTGCCATATTGTTGGCGGACATGATATGGTACAATGCCCTCCTGCTGTGGATTATAATGAAGAACTTTAAACTCCGGTGTCCGAGAGACAGCTGACAGCTGACGGGCCTCTTTCCTGAATGGAGACGAGGGGGGTAGTTATATCCGGTAAATTTCAAAATAAAAAAGCATACAGTAGTCCGCAAGCCAAGATGAAACAGGAAAAGGTTTTTGAACTTTTATTTTGACAGTAGTATTTTAACCCAGTGTGCATTGCGCGGACTAGCAAACATAATGGGTGACATGAATGGAAGCCGGTGTTGATAGTTTCAAACTGGGGATAAATTTATTAGATTAATTACTATAATATTCCTTATACTCTATTATACTAGTTGTACCACGAATATCAGCATGACATTCCTCTGAAATTTAACTCGTTTCAAGCAAGTTAACTAAGTAAGTAGCATCGTTAAACTAGATAACGTTTGTTACAACTTTATTACGTTCGGCTGTTTAGTAAAACACGCTAGTTCTGTCTAAAAAAAGCTACCGTTGAAGCCAATAACTTGACCAAAATGTACGTATCCCATAAACTTAAATAACTGTGTTATTTCCTTGTTAACCTCCACTTATTTACTTCAAGGAAGCTATTGAAATGTTTTTATGAGAAGTAGAAGAAATGGGCTAATACAAACCTAGCTTGTAGTTAGTGTATTTACAGCTTGAAAAAGCAAAAAAGAGCATGCAACTGCACCACAATTAACTGTAACAAAGGGAAGCATTTGGCTTACATGTTTTTGTTTTTACTCAGGTTATATCATGGCGTTTCCTCAGCCCAGACCTCAGGCTCCTCAGCTTCCTCAGCATCTGCTCAGGACCATAGACTGTCAGCAAGGAGCTGTCAGGGCAGTTCGCTTTAACGGTAAGAAAGACCCAACAAGTGTATCGTGTTAATGTTGAGATTGGTTTAAACTTATATCCAAGTTATAATAAATGTATACTATAGTCTGACAGCAGTCTAGTTTAGTTATGGTAAATTAAAGGTAAAAGCATGCAAGCCCTGGTTTGATTAATTGATTAATTGATTAGTGATATAGACTAAACCTGGTGCTCTTGGGGGCCCTGGGCAGTTGCTTGCTTTTTCCAGTTGATAATCCAGCCTTGGTGTGAGACCTCCATGTGAGTCACGAGTCATCCACAAAAACGCCATTATCTTACACCTGCCTCTGTCTCATGTCTCCCTGCATGGTCAGCTGATGGGAACTACCTGCTGTCCTGCGGCAGTGACAAATCCCTAAAGCTGTGGAGTGTGAGCAGAGGGACCCTGCTGAAGACATACAGTGGCCATGGATATGAAGTTCTGGATGCTGATGGGTGAGACAGTTGTCACAGCCTCCTCCACAGTGTGCCGGGAGAGTTATTTCAGTAATATGGCACCAAAACGGCAGAATAAATGTAAACTGTAAACACATGAAGAAAGAAGAAATGCTGAAACACTGTGCTGAATAGAAAGATACATGGATAGATTAGGTCCTTAATGTTGTTTCCACTGTTTATTTTGTCCAGCCCTTTGTAGATGGGTTTAAACTGTAGATACTGAACTATACAATACCTCATTAACACAACTCTGGGGCCCCTGGATGAGATAACATTGTTTTTTTTTCCTCATTGGCTGCTTCCACAGTTCCTTTGACAACAGCCAGCTTTGCACCTGCAGCTCTGACAAGACAGTGATCCTGTGGGACGTCGCCACAGGCCAGGTCACACGCAAACTCAGAGGTCATGCTGGGGTCAGTTCTGCTGTTTATAACTCTTGTGTTACCCTATTGCTGTCATTTCCATCTCATTTAAAAACTTTTTCAGGTTTATCTGTTGCAACTACATAGTTTCATGTACTTTATTTTTGTTTGTACTTTTTTTTTAAATTGTTAACTCAAATTTTCTGTTCACAGAAAGTCAACTGTGTCCAGTTCAATGAGGAGGCAACTGTTATCTTGTCTGGTGAGTTCTCACTCAAGTGAAATGTATGTAAATACATGATTCAGTATTCATTGTGTTTCATGTGAAATATCTTACCACATGAACATTGAATGTCTTTCTGGGTTTGTTGGTCTGTATTAATGTTAAATTATGAACAGCTCATCAGCACTAATACTGATCATTAACTGATTCAAAGTGTATTAATATTTCCTCAGTAAAATGTGTATATATTATATATAATCGTGTTCTTGCCTCATTCAGGGTCCATAGATGGGACCGTTAGGTGCTGGGACACCAGGTCCAGAAGATTCGAGCCCATCCAGGTTCTAGACGAGGCTCGGGACGGCATCAGCAGCCTGAAGGTGCTACAACATGAGCTGCTTACAGGGTGAGACAAGTTGACATGTTTTTTTCCTGACTTTAGGATGAATTCATTATGAATTCACAAACTGCTTGTCTCCTGCTCATTCAGTCAAATTCAGTAGAATTCAGTTCAAATTTTAGACTTAGACTTCATTTTAATTTTGTACTGACACACAATATTCTCTGTTTAGATCTGTGGACGGCAGAGTGAGGCGCTATGACCTGCGGATGGGACAGCTGCATGTGGACTTCATCAGCAGTCAGTAAATGTTTTCATAACATCTCTTCAACTATTACTATTATTACTATCACACCATTTGACTATTAATTATCAATCCTCCTTCTACTGAACACAATAACAGTGTTTACCGATATAAAGGACTGAAAGTTACTTTGTCTGCTCTTGAATTGACTTTTATCAACCTCTTTTTATGACCATCGAAATACACCAACACCAATAACCCTGAAATGTTGATATATCACAAAGTAAAAACAATTAGAGACTTTGAGATGGTTAAAAGCATTTCCCTTTAACTTGTGTGTGTTGCAGGTCCCATCACCTGTGTCTGTTTCAGTCAAGACAGTCAGTGCACTCTGAGCTCCAGTTTGGATTCAACAGTCCGACTCCTGGATAAGAGCACGGGGGAGATGCTAGGAGAGTGAGTGCTCATTTAAAATTGCAAAATTTGAACACCAATGTGGCAGCTCGTTCTATATTTATCTCTGTAAACCAGCTCAGCTCACTGTTTAGCAAAAGCTTATGACAGACTGACTTCAGCACCACCAACTAAAACACCTCAGATCTGAGTCAACACCACTGACCCAGCTGCAATCAAAAGTTACAGTGAAAATTACACCATTCATTAAGGTAGTATTTATTGATTGTAAATGTCTGTTATTTTGTCCTGATGCTCTGCTTTGTTTGTTTTACTCAGGTATACAGGACATAAGATGAAGGGCTACAAGCTGGACTGCTGCCTGTCCAGTAAAGACACGCATGTCCTGAGCTGCTCAGAGGACGGACACGTCTACTGCTGGGACCTGGTGGAGGTAAGCATGCAGTTAAATGTGTTTCCAAAGTGTAATTAACATAACAGGTTTAATAGTTTCATAGAATGCAGGTAAGACAGATTTACAGGCGAAAGAAAATCTTTTTACTAAAAGCTATCTATCTACTAAATGTAATCCAAATATGGTCGAACGTTATATAAAGAGCAGCAACAGAAAGCAAACTGAAAACATACTGTTCAACTCTAATGTTCCGGTGACTTCCAGGGGTCTTTGTCCTTGAAGCTGCCAGTGGGAAAAGCTGTTGTCCAGTCGCTGTCCTTCCACCCGACAGAGACCTGCCTCCTGACTGCCATGGAGGGGCGTGTCCAGGTGTGGGGGGCGGAGCCAGAGGAGACAGAGGAGGACGCGATGGCCACATAGAGAGAGTGAAAGCAGTCAAAAGCAGACAGCGTTTACACACTGAGAGGACTGTTTTCTCTTATTCCAGCAACAAACAGTCTGTAAACATCACAACTTTAAAACCTGATAAACCTTATGGTGGCGTGAAATTTAGTTTCAAATCTAGTTTTTATGAAGCAAATGCTGGCGCAAATAATATTAAGATTAAAAGGCTGATGCTGAACTTTGGCTCACAGACCTGCAGAGAATATGTTCTGGATGTGAATCTAATTTTTTTTTTTTTTTATTTCAGTTCATGAGGGAATCTAAAGGATCTTTGACTTTTGTACGTGTGTGAAACATTGATATATTTTTATACAAAACCTTGAATAAACACTTTGTTGTGTAAATTACACCAAATTGTGTCATTTCAATTTCTACACCAATGAAATTCCCACAAACACTGATTAGTTCTGTACAAGTTTATCTTTATTGTACTGTACACACAATGAACACAGAGATGAGCACATTACAAAATAAATTAATCTGCATGACAAAACAATGACATCAAATAAATAAATAACTTATCTTACATAAATACTTTTTTTTTTTAAACTGGATGGACCTTTTGACGAAGAAGTCTGAATTGTAAAGAGCTTCACTCGGCTTGCGTGGTGTATCTACGCAGCTTCGTACATATGATATGTTTTATTGTTAACCCCCAAAAATTGCACTGAAGATTTTTAAATAAATACATGTCAGCTTATTTACAAAAAATAGTCAAGTAGTTGTTTTTTTTTTGTTGAATCATGTCTCTGTTCTGCCCTTTTTTACACCACTTTGTCAGAAAGTTAGTTCAGCTGACGTAGGCAATGCTTTCATTTATAAAAAAAAAAAAAAAGTATTTACATTTAAAGAGCACATTTCTGATTCTGTATATTCAGATGAAAAATCCCTTTACTAGAATGCTGACTGTTCATGAACTAAGAAAAGCAGCCAGATTTTTTTTTTGTCTTTAGCTTGACTGCTATCAGAATAGTTTTTTAAAGCTTGCATGAGCCACAAGTAATAAAATTGTAATCCTGTTGAGGCCCATGAGATCACCAACAAAACTGGATTGATGAGGTTTTCACCCAAAAGTGACAGAGAAGTTCTTGCTCACTGATTTTGACATAGATAACTTCATAAGAAAAGGTTTCAGCTTCCTCAGTGGTATGTCATGTCGGACTTATAAACTCTTCACTTACAGACATTACGAGAGAACCTGCCAGCAAACTATCCTCCGCCCGCACCTTCTTACCTCCCCCTTCACCCATGTACATGCAGCCCTCTTCCCTCTCAACTGCCCCCTTCACCCATCTACGCTCAGCCATCTAGCCCACACAGCTGCAGCCCGCGGCCGACAGCTTCTCCACCTTGTGCCAGCGGTGCGAGTTATCGAGGAAGGCCATGTCCTCGTGGTGGGTGGGCCTGCAGCAGGGCGCGTTGTGCCACAGCTCCCCGGGCGCCGGGTGTGGGAGCACCCCACTGACCAGCAGGTTAGTGAGGGTGAGGTCGTGGTTGGAGAGAACCCGGGGACACTTCCCGCTGCAGTACTTGAAGAGGACAGTCTCGTCCGAGTCGTAGCCCAGCCCCAGGTCTCGAACCTGCAGCAGGATGGAGCGCAGGCCGCACTGGGACTCAGTCGTTGAGCGGCGTGACCGGACTGGGATCGGGATGCTGGGATGGGGTGATGGCCCGACTCCAGAAGCTTCTGTTTGGCTGTCCTCATCAGCTGGATATCTGCTTCTTTTGTCCTCATTTGGAGACGTGTGTGGAGATGCTGTTTCTCGTTTCTGATCTAGAAAAGGCAGAAAGAGTTATGCATACATCTGATGTACAAAAACAATAAAAAATACTCTTAACTGACAGCAAAGGGCAACTGATTTCAATAACTGATTTCAAGTCCAAATTGAAGCACCAGTTATTTACACTCTAACTAAAAATGTATAACTTCTGAGAGGCAGAAAAAATGTTTAAAGTAATAAACATCCAAGACTGGACACAATATTTAACACATTAGTCTCAATACAAGCAAAAATTAGATTTTAAACAAAAGGTCATAGGTCACGACCTTCACTTACCGATCAGTGATCTCAGCCAGTGGCCTTCTCCCCTCTGGACACAAAACAGAATCACAGCCAGCTTCAGTAGGGACCTCATCGCTAGAGTCTGCTCTTCGTCGGTGCCGCCGTTGCTCAAAAATGAACCAGACACGTTTGTGTTTGTATGTCTGCGAGTATCTGCGGGTGCAAGTGATGCTGAAGATGCAGACGAGTCACGACCTCCAATATATAGCCCTCGGAGATTAAGGGGGGGGGGGGGGGGTGAAGGGATGAGACGAGGTGTAGGGGGGAGACAGACACTAACCCGTTACTTGCCAACAGACTATCCCACTCACCTGAGCCTGACAGGGAGCGTAGGAGGGCAGGCGGGCGCTTGACCCAGAATTTGTCCTGTTGGGATTATCTAATTGGTGTAAATCACCGGTTTATTGTTGAGTTTCTCCCAGATGTTTTTCCAGAGGATGTTGGCCCCTGGCAATATGGATTCCCAGAGTTTCGAGGTTTCTTAAATGCTGTGAAGGAGAGGACAATGATGTCACTTTGATGATGCTGAGAAGTATGTGCGATAAATGAATCAGTAGATAGGCAGCTGTGGGAAGACGGATAAGCAGAAGACGGGTTATCAATGCGTGAGGAAACGTAAAGAAAGAGCTGCAGTGAAAGTTTAAAAAAAAAAAAAAAAAGGCAGGATGAGTCATTGTGGAATGTCTTAAAATAGGCCCCTGTTATATGTGTAACGTTACTGCCGAGGAGTGATACAAGAAAACAAAACAAAAAAAACTTTAAAAGGTCAAACACCGAAGAAGAAAGGGCCTGTTTCAGCAGACATTCCACAATGGGTGACTCGTCTCGAGCTACTCCATAAATTGAGGGATTTCATCAGCAACGTGCGGCTGACATGTAGAATATGTAGAATATGCATTATGTAACGGTTTAGGGCCCTAACAGACAGACAGTCAGTGGAATTTGGAGTTTGCGAGAAAGTGCATATTTGGACTGTGTTTCTGCCATCCAGGTGCAGGTCAGACACCTCAGTGCGCCTTATTTAGCAGCTGGTGTTGTTCAGGCTGAGACGATGAAATGGACACGAATGTGTGAGCTCCTAAAACATTTGAAATTTATTCTGGCCCCCCTATGTATAGGCTATTTTCCACACAAACACACCGGGACACTTGCCATTGTTAATTATTAGTAGCACCTTCAAATGTGTGAAAATGCTGTATGACATTGAAAAAGTTTCTGTCCTGTGAAAACTTCACACCAGGCAATGAAGAGTGATCAGTCCACAAGGTATTTAAATGTGTTTGGAAAACACTGGTGTGAATGTTGGTGTTCATGAAAGACAAAGGAGGAAACAAGGACTGCAACAATGTATTATCCTTATTATTTACAGTTTTTGTAAGTGAGATTTTAAACAACGATTTTGAGAGCGAACAATTATTTTAGCAGATAACTGAGTCACAGTTTTATCTGTTCTTTGTTTTGGTTGCTAGTCTGGAAACGCGTGTATGTTAGTGAGTGTCACTCCCTCCTGTTAAAATTTGGCAGAGGTGCAGCAGGAGGAAGTGTTCAGGTGAAAGCCACCATCCAGAATTTCCTCCATGGGATGAACCACGGTTCACGATGAGACCAGAACACAGGTGGACTGGCTGCGGGGGACTACTGGTTCAACTCCCGGCCAGCCGGTGAACCGTCAAAACATCTGTAAAGTTTTCTACCAGTTCCGTCATTGTCTTCACCAACTCCGTCAGTGTTTTTACTAGCTCCTTTGTGTCTTTACCGGCTGCCTCAGTGTCTATACCGTCTCTGTCAGTGTCATTCCTGTGACCGTGGTCCTAGTTGATAAATCCAAGGCTGAATTTGTGTCCCAGTCCGACCTTGGAGCCACTACTGGTCTGGCTTTCCTGAAACTCAGACTTCCTTGACTCCTCCATGTGTAAGCTACATAATAACCCTAACCCTTACATGTCTGTTTTCATTAGTGACTGGTACAGTATGCATGATAACGTTAGCTAGCTTGCTCTTCCCCATATTGTAATTGTGTTGAGCAAATGTTGCTATCGCTAGCTGGCTAACTGTCAGCATTTTCATGTAGCATATCACAGCAATGCTAGCGTAGGCTAACGATAAGCATGACTATCCCTGATTGAAGATTTCCATCAAAACAATGCAGATTAATTTGTGCCAGAGGGGGTTTTCTTAGCTCTGATTCTTTCCTAAATTGAAGTCTGTTTTAATAGGATTTAAATAATCTCAGACAGTTCAGGTTTCAGTTACAGTATGTTGCTTAAACAAACAGCAAACACACTGTTTTTCAGACTCACTCAGTCACTCAAACTTTTCTTGATGCTAGTCTTCTCAACACTTACTTATATTGCATAGTGTACATATTTGTATTATATTTAAACTTTTTCACATTTTTATTACAAATATTTTATTGTAATTTTTTTCTATTTATATTTAAGCTATCTGACCTGCAGCACTTGCTTTTGCTTTATCTTTTTTTATATTTCTTCTATGTTTATTGTTATGCACCAAAACACCAAAGCAAATTCCTCAGATATGAAAATGTACTTCAAATACAAATACTTTGTACAGGGACAGCGCACAATGATGAATATCCCTGCAAATTTGCCAGAGTTAGCCAAGAAGCTAATTTGTCCCTCAAATTAAATTGAAAAAATATCAATAAAAGAAACAATTTTTAAGATGAATACAAGCACATGGAACATGAACGTGGGTAAACAAAGGAATAAAGGCTAAAGATAAGAGAGTCAAACAGTTCGTTTATCATGAAATATACATTACAACCCAGGCAATAAATACAGTAATCAAAACAAAGAACATTACTTTCACTGGGTTTTCTTAATGCCTGACTCCTGGTTTCACTTAGTTATATATAGACAAGGGGAGTGTGTCCAATGAGATTTTAAGTTTATTTATTGCTCTTAAACAGCCTCATTTCTCATGTATTATAGCTCTGTTGATATGAATTAGAAAGGAATCATCTCTAGATCTTGAACTAATACGCTTCCACGAAATTTACTGCCAGGAATTTCAATAATTCTTTCAGGGATAACTTTTAGAGGGACTGCACTAAATTACTTATTCAAATGAAAAATGACCATGTATTTTTAAGCGAGCTCTTCCTCAGTAAAAGCCCAGTCCACTCAACTAGTCGGATTCTAATTTGAGCAAATTTTGGCCTTAAACACTGGTGTTAATTCACGTTTTATTATTTCATTCTGCAAAGCACTAATTATGTAACATACAGTGC